GAATGTGTAGGGAGGGTGTACATGGTTGAGTGTGTTGATGCCGTTCTCGTCCTTGGTCTCTTGTTGGAGCAGCATCGTGATGATGGACATATACCCCCTTTGCCGCCGCTACATGCCACGCCGTCTCGCCATTCTAGATCAAACCTAAATATGGTTTTGACCGTCCAACTCAAACTGCATACCTCGTTGGCCAACGAGGAGCTAACGCCCAAACGCAGTAGCTGAGCCACTGTGCTACCGTCGTTGGTGGAGGCTGCTTGGCGCAAAGCGGCGACCAAGACTGGCGTTGAAGCACATAGATTCTGTACCACCCCATCAATATTCTCACGAAAACGAAGTCGATATCCCACCTTGTCGACGAGATCGAGGGACGCACCCGCCTCGTACAGCGCCTGAACCAACTCGGCGTTGTCAGCGGTAATTGCGACTGCAAGAGCCGTGCGATCCGTCTATACCATCCCACATAACGTAAGAATGTCGGACAAAAAGTCGATTGATGGAAATACCGAGTCTTTGGCATCGATTTGGAGATTTGGTTTTTGAAGCAATATTTGAAGCAGTGACAAATCCTGCGTTGCCACGACCAAGTGCAGCAACGGTGTCTTAGACTACACTCATATGAGTCACATCTATGATGGATGGCATATCGTAAAAAATGCGTACGCTGTCACGGAGGTTGACGTGGAGAAAGTTGTTTTCGAGAATGCGCATGACGTCATCAATGCGCTTCTCGCGCAGTGCATCACAGAGCTATAACGGAGAGTATGTATAGAAACGACTGACGAAAAGCATTGGGATCAGCTGTATACCTTCTCGCCTTGCATGCGAGGATAGTCGCGTAAAAGCGTTGCGACGGGATCATTCGAACCACGTGCTTCTGCGACCTCAAGCGGCGTTTCGCCCCCCTAGAGAAAAACAATTGTTGTTCATTGACGATGGCTTGAGCCACATGCATGCCACCCATACGCCGACATGGTGGCTGTACGTACGTTGTTTTTGGCATCGATTTCGGCGCCTTTTTCCAAGAGCAGTTGGACCATTTCTGGTTTGTTGGCTTGAGCGGCCATGTACAGTGGTGTTGAGCCATTCTACGGCAATAGATACTTCAACACCGCTTCATAAAGACAAAAACATACCGCATTGGACGCTTCCACATTGGCGCCTTTCTCAAGCAAGAGGCGGGCGACGTCCACACAACCATAGGTAGCAGCATGGTGCAGTGGCGTTTGACCATACTACTCCAATGTATGATTATAAAATAATCCAATTCGAGAGATCCAACGCACGTCGTTCGTGCAGTTGACGTTGACGCCTTTGTTGAGATAGACTTGGACGTCAGCCAACTTGCCACACTCTGCAGCACGAAGAAGCTCGTTCTACATCATCGCTCATGCACATCGTCGCAGGTCGCTTGGTCGTCGCTCTACCTCGTCGTTCGTTGCCATCTCCGTCGCCGTCGGTTTGAAAACTGCTCTTTTTTTCATTGGCTTCTTTTCAACCAATCCACGCTCGGCATATCACAACCGGACGACGCCATATCTATTTCGGATAAGCAAACCAAGAGTCGAACCAGCGACCGCACGACCATGTCCAGCGCCAGCGCAATCGCCGCACGGGCAGGGACGCAAGGTGCGTAAGCAGCAGCGAGACCACCTCGGGCGACCCTATGGCCAGACTGTGCTCGGGCGACGCGAGCTTGCCGCGGACCAAGAGCAGCTGCTTGTGGACGTCCGAGGCCCAAACGACGGTGAGCGCGCCGTCGCCAGCGTCCGAGGCGAGACCGGCCTGCGAAGCAAACCACCGATGCGCTTCCGGCACAAGCTCCAAGAGGCTGCAAGGAGTGCTCGACGATGACCGCCACGCCTTCGAGGTGCACGACACGACCGGACCGCGCGGTCCAAGACCGTCTCTGTCTTGGTCTGTTCGAGCGGCAAGCAGTCGCCGAGCAGGTACAGACGCTTGACATCGTCGTTGACGTCTTTAGCGTCATTGGCGTGACGCAGAGGACGCTGTGGCGACCGTTGCTTTGCAGAAACGGCAGCAGCTTGGCGGCATCGGCGACCGCCGCGAGGAACGACCGCGT